GGTGGGACCACAGGCCACGAATAGAAATAAGCTATTCTAATGCTGGACTCAAGTACAGAACGTCATCTAAACTATTACTGAAATTATTCCCCCAACCATCTAGAGGCTAGCCTTTACTATGTAGCTGGTTTCCGAACCAACCTTGAGTGACCCACGGAGGATAATTGCAATAGCATCCGTGCATTCCCAGCCCCACTAGAAAAACTGGTTCCACTACGCCCCTCTATCCCCAAGCAGGCTATAACTAGGCCTTTTTATGACTTATCATCGATTGAAATTTCATCTAAATCCGAAGAGACAAAGAGCTCTTCATCAAGAAATCGTAGTGGCCGGTCTGAATTTTACTCAATTCCGTGTAAGCGTTAAGACAGAATACCAGGTGTCACGTATAGATACTGTTATTATCCATCGAACAGGCTACTTGTAATTAACGGGATTGTGAGTGTTAGGGTATTTCGCTGTGGTTTACGAAGACTTTTCTCCTATGAGCGGGGAGCTCGTTTCTTTAGTTTATCGAGAAATTATAACGAAAAGGTACACCGAACAAGGATCTGACCTGAATCAACCTGTGATTCCGAAATGATTAGCATCAAAGACCGAACAATGCCACTGATGGCTGATGGCGATATGATTAATTTGAGTGCAAGGGTACTCGCCAGTGGAGAGACGGTACGCAGCGCAACTGATCCAAATTAGTTTAAACTCAGCCGTTTTGTCGGCTGGCATAAATTCGCTAAGGTCGTTAAACATTATCACTGCGCTTTGCGTCTAGACTAAACGTACCACAAAGGTATGTTTCTGATGAAATGAGATATTCTACATGTGTAGTAAAATCTTTTTAGTTGTGACTATATGCGAGAGCTTCGTGGTGGACAAGGGGATGCTCGTTTCCTGATGGAAGTATTCTCCCAATGAATCAAAACAAGGATTAGCTGGCACATAAACGGATGTGACAAACAGTTTCCAGTACTTTGACGGGTGAAAAGTCGGAAAGCACACAGTCGCTTATTTCATCTATTCAGTGAAGAACGCCCAGTCTGCGGCAGCAGATACAGGATCGACCAAATCGTAGTCGACATCGTCTAGGTAAATAGGGTGCCATAAGCTCAACTACTACACTCAGATCCTGTAGGTGAGCTTCAGAATCGTTAAGGTAGCTAGAGTACACATAGGGATGACTTGTCTAAGAATTGCTACGTTGAAGGCTGGACGTGGACTGCGATAGCCCCAGGGTACCTAGCTCTATTTTGCAGAACAACTGGAGTCCTGAACCAGAGCCTTCGGCTCCAGAGCTGAAGCGTACTTTTGGCTGACGCAACATAACCTAAATTTTTATTGACACGGCCGTACACGTTTCAATATCGTACTACTTTATCCTTGAATAAGTAGTTTAAAATGGTTGCGGAAACAGCTCAAGTCTCTGACTTGTCCCATGGGATGCTAGCGACTAGGTGGTTGCGTGACACGGCTTGCTGGCCCTCGAAAAGTACCTTTGACAGTTGGCCGGTTGTTCAGTTTCCTCTTGGTGCGATAGAAATTCATGCTCCTTTTTCAGCAAACTGGCTTGATACCAGTGGAAGTACAACTGACCTAAATATCACATAAACCAGAAAATTTATAAATGTTTCAGACGTCTATGGTCAATTTACCTGTAACTACCTCATTGCATCCAATAAATCTCTTCTGTCAGGTGGGCCCAACAAAGTAAAACAGGTTTCAAGCGATAGATCAACTATTCTTCCGACAGTGATTTCCCTAATGACAGTAGGATACAAATGCCGACTGTAAAAGTCCCTCGTCAATACAAGCAACTCACTAAATAAAATTCTTGTTCAAAAATTGCTTTCTTTGACATTACATTCGGTTTAAAAGCAAAAATTCATTCTTATCATTCTGCAGTGCCTTTTATTTTTCTTGTCATCTATCCGCTGCAGTGCTCTAGAGCCACAAGGTGACAAATAGGTAGAAAGTGGCACCAAATGTTTACTTTTTTGCCAGAAACTTGTGCTACGTGTAGCACTTGTTTAGAAGGAGAAGAGTAAGTTTACGGAACAGAGGGCAAACGCTTCTTCATTTCCGCACTGGTAACGATTAGATACCATACAGTCATATACTCTGATACATGAGGCCTTACGTGACCGGATTAATGTGCACACCAACTAAACATAGCATCTACGACGCAGACAGGGACGTCGCTTTCGTAAAACTAACTCGGTGACCTACTGCTTGATAAACTGACCAGTTTACGGCCTAAAGCTAAATTATGAGTAATCTGCACAGAAATAAAAACATCACGGGTTTCAGTCAAAACATCCACGTAATGTGGATCATGGGACTGAAAGATAGGTAGGTGAGTACTTCACGCTATTGTTTGACCTGTCTTTCTTGAGATGTGCTGTACTGGTTATTTCCACTTACTACACGTTAACCTCACTTGCACAAAGCGGCATCTGTTGAAACTTCGAAACCTTCCCATAATAACATCCGCTATTTGCCTGTTTTTGCATCTTAGTTACCTTGTTGGTCTCTTCCCCAATCCTTCTCAGCTGTGAGACTTGCAGAAACATTACCGAAAAAACATTTACCTACTTGCCTTTCTTCCGAAATTAGTTAATGGTGTTTATAGCTGTTTGCCCCACATGTACGCCGCCTTGGATATAAAAACCTCGAGCCAATGAAATGGGAGATGGAAAGTTGTGTTGGAGACAAAAATGTGCTCCCGATAATCAGCACTTGAAAGAGGTCAAATTTACCAATTCCAGTAGGGTACACAAGGCAAAATAATAAAAGTTCAGACTAACTATAGACCCCACTGTCTGTTTTGAACAGCCAGGTAAAGTCACTGTGTGAAGTGATTCTCTGGATGTTTTTTCTCCCACAACTGCCAGGATCGTCCCGAATCCGCGTGGAAAGTTTGTTTACAGTTGCTCAACTTACTGAAAACAATGGTTTTTTCTGGGCAACTCACTGAATCCTTATTCGTTTTGCTTCAGGCTTCTAATTCTACCTCAGTTACGTCTGGAATCAGATTGTCCGCATACTGGAGTAATGTTTTCACTGCTACTCTCATGGCTACTGCACGTTCTTTGGGACCATGCACCCTAAACTTCACACGTGACTTTATAAACCTTCAAAAGCACATGCAGATTTGTGTTACTTGCACTGACTTTATAAAACATTTCTTTCATACTGGGCTATGGTATGAACCGAATGCTGTTGCTGATTACCACGTCAACAAAAATCCAGAATTTTATGGGCCCACAGCATCAAGTACCAAGTGCTCTACAACCTCCATTTGTATATCTCTTTAAAAATGTGAGGAATACTGCCTAAACTTTTTCCACGCAAAGAATTATTAAAAACCTCAAAACTATGATCTATGCACAGATTCGAACTGATCCTTAGAATCAACCCCTTATTCCCGTGGATTTCCAGTGCTGCTCCCGTCCAGCCGATGATAGAACCAAAACGATTGTGGTGTGGTCGTCAGCCACGAATCCACTGGATTTCTAAACTGAAGATCAGAAACAAACTCCGGAATTGTCTATTTCGTCAGCGTGTGTAAAACACAGATTTAGGAAAGTGGTGATGTTCGCCAAATTATCAAAATGCTAGTGTTAAGTGTTGATAACTCTATGAGACGAAAATAAGGAATATCGCATGACCGCTACTTAAGGATGACCAGAATCATTAGTAGCTGTGTTCAGGCATCGGCCACAGAAAGTGCTAAATTGGAGTTATACAGTTGTGTCCCCTCCTTTCCATTAGGTATGCCCATGTATGAAAGTCACACTTCTTTTTCTCCGCAGACAAATCAATGTAAGACATTTCCAACCCTAAAACGAGACTTAATTTAAAAATATGTTTAGAATTCTTCGAAATTAGGTATTTCTAATATTTATTGAGCCTAAAGCTTGCTCTATCCACAAGTTTGTCTACAGGGACTATTTCTGGTCAAGTGTCAAAAAGACGAAGGTCACGAATAAATGACAATTTAAGTGCGTACAAAGCATTACAGATCCATGAAGTTTCTTTTAATCGGCGTTGGCTATAAATGATGCTAGGCTGGATCTGTCCCTCACTTTCAACAGGAAGTATGCTTGCACCTTAGACGCACACATATGGCCAGTTAGGATTAGACAGTATTCGGCTTGGTCTATGCAAAGATGCTCACAAAAAATCAGCAAACATAGCATACTTAACGCTCCTAACTATTCAGGTTATTAGGTCACCAATCTACTGGTATTCCATTCCATATGTGTCTGTCTCGGATAGACTGGAGGCTGTGTTGCTAATAGGACGATCCCAGAATAGATTCGCATAGCGTTCTATAGTTAGCCATAAGTCTGTTCACCTTGGTTCACGCGATGATGGTCGTTGAGTCACCTCTAGCACCATTAGTGACTCAGAATACCAAATCACTCAACGCGTCCACACGGCAATAGTTATGAAACATCCCCTGCAGTATTGTTGCAGTCATGACTGTTTGATAACACCAGAAGGCTAAGGTAGTTCCGGAAAACTTGTTTTTTTTTCGCTGACCTTTCGTTGATCGATTACCGTGTCCCTTTTTAGCCCATAAATACATTTCAACCATCAAAACATGCCTTCAGTTCCCAAGTCGAGCCGTTCACTTGATCTTCTTGTGTCTTGCACTCTCCACTTATCCGACTAGAAATTGAGGCTCAGTTAAATTTTCCCTTTTGCTTTTCGGCTCCCCAATTCGCAAGATCCGTGTCACCAGCTTTTATACTTCCGACCAAAGTATTAGGGCTTTTTATGTCAGTATTCAGTTTTTACGTACTGGTCTAACCGTATAGAAGTTGCTTCGTACTACTGTTCCCATCGATTTGGCAAACATCTGCTAGCTACCATAGATAGGTGGACTTGATCATGACCTCCATACCATTGGAATACGTCTATCTAAAGATCCGACTCTTGTTCAGTCCAGTGAACACAAAGTATCCACCTAAGGAAATGTGGTGGAACTGTTCACACACTGAATATTGTGCCAGTCCATGGGCATCAATTTTATCGCTCGCGTTCCATCGCCCGATGGCACCAGAGTCCTGCACTTTGGTCTCCATTCACGGTTTGCTACAGGCCACAATGGCCTTTGAAACAAATTTTCAGCTTAAATTTGACAGTAGGTCAAGTACTTTCGAGATCGTGCGGTAACTTAAAAGAGTCTGTCAGCCTTAATACAGAAGTGATGTTGGTGCATGGTAGTGAAGAATGAAGGTTCTATTCGCATCGTTTCTCAGACCAAACTCCGCAACAGCAGTCGCGAGAACTGTCCACAATGCGGCTGACTATTTTCACGGTACCCTTCTTCAATCGGTTGCGCAACAAATATCATTCCATTGTACCGCGACCAGCAAGAAACCTACATCGTTCTTCTTGGATGTGTGTCCGTCATTTCAGCTGTTAGGCGGCTGAATAATAGCAATAAAAGAAACCTATTAGGGTTGTTTGTTTCTTTTTTTCATTTTGGAATGACACCACTAGAGCATTCTCCAATTCTGGTGGGAATTCATCTTCCTGCTCAGTTAAGAAAGTGCATTTTTCAGGGTCGACCACCGTACTTGAGCAGTTCGGCTGCAAGTTGTCTTCTCTAGCTGATTGGTTGTTCCACAACTGCAAATTTGCCTGCCGCACCTCGTTGATTCCTGCAGGAACGACCAGGGCTTGTTTCGTCTCCCTTCGAAAGAGTCTAGCCACTGCAGCCCGGTAGACGATGGTCGGTTCCGCTGTTTGTCTAATAGTCTGCTCGGCGCTTCCAGAGGTGAATTTTGCTTCCCTGCGATGATCGAACCTTGAGCTGCTATTTAATAACACCGATTTTTGGATCAGCAACAGAATCGGCAGGTGCTCTGGTTTTTTATGCGTTCCCGATGTTGTTGGCTCAGTGTGGCCGGATTTTACGCTTTGTTCAGACTACTGCTACTGCTGCTGTTCGAATCACGCGTGTGATGCACGCCTGTCAACTGTTCCGAAATTGAATGAATAAGAGTAGGGGGTGTGGAGGATCTCTATGCGACTATGTGTTACCCCCCGAGGCCGAATTTCTGCTGATCATAGTAACACCGTGAATAACACAAATCCTCAAATGTTTTCCATAGAGGAAACTATTGATAGCTCAGGTAGCGTAGGAGGTTGTTGGCTTGTTCGCTGAGCTGAGCAGTTTGATTGCAAAGGTTCATTACCAACTGAGCAGTTTGATTGCAAAGGTTTCATTACCAATCGAGGTGATATCATCAGTGCGTTGTTGGGTAGCTTAGTGGTGCGTACCGATAAGTTATCGATTAGCACAACCGGGTGGTGAAATGTTTCCAATCAAATTGCCCAGTTCAGCGAACAAGAAAACGGCTATTCTCAGATGTCGGCTCCCGTTGATGTTTAAATTTCCCATAATATGACATCTGAGAACGCCTTTTTAGAGATAAAACGACATTGGTCAACATTTCCAATAAAGTTTTCTATCAACGGTTGATCGGAGTTCGATTGGAGCTGACCGAAGTATGGTGTCAACGGAGTTGTCTGGTGTAGAATTTCAGTCTAACATTGAAGCGTGTAACTGCATCTATGACGGACACGTCATCTTGACTTGTCAATTTCGGGCGCGGTGAAGCAACACGTAAATTGATGCAACGGGGTTCTGGGTCGAACATGTTCTTGATGCGGTTGGATACGGCCTCACCGACAGAGTGGTCCTGTGTTCTTCTTGTCGAGTAGCCGGCAGATCAGTATTTGCAACCACAATTAGCTTCACAAATACTTCCTTGGTAAGCTAGCTGTGTTTTGCTGAGGGCCACGAAATCCCTTTGCAGCTCCTCAGTTACACTGCAAACAAGGCGCCTTGAAGGACTATCGGCCTGGTTATCACCTTGATTCACAAGTGGTTAGGCGCTCCATGAGCCAAATGTTAACGATCTCAGGAGGAAGCATGACTGCTTCAGATTTACCTGCAAGATAGGAATGTGTGAGCTATTATTCCATCCCCAGGTTCCCAGTCTGAAGAGGGAGATTGTAGCAGCTGACCTCGAGAGACCGTGCTTTTGACTGGCCTCAAACGACCTCGAGGTCTTTCTGTGAAAGGAATATCGTGTGTGCCAAATAAACAGCAGGCATGATCGTTTAAGCTGAAAGCTACATCTTAACTGTCCTTGTTTGCATACACCAGTAAAACTACCACTGATTCAGCATCGGATGATGGCAGAGAGTCGTCTGCCAACAGATGCCACAAATAAAATGGACTGACAACCCGAATACATGTGTTGTTGGCTCTTCTAGCATAATGCCAAATGCATAAGTAAACTGGCGTTCCAGAGCAGTTTGTCCTGATGGCCTTTTCAGCAGCTCCTGTTTGAAATAGCAAGGTAGCGATGTTCACTGGCCTACTCTGCAGAGGGTCTGATATCCTTGCCGAGATCAGTCTTGGATTTCATCTGATCCATACCGTCCACAATCCAAATGGTGGTGTCTGATCTGGAAAGCTAGCTGCAAAAAACTAATGAAAAGGGAAAACGAAAACAGCAGGCCGCCAACCCGAATCAGAGGCATCAATAGGGCTCCAACAGGCTTAAAAACCAGTAAAGCTTCACGCTGCCGGTGCTCTGGAGTTACGCAACCGCGAAAAAACTCCAAATGCTGAACAACAGCTGTCAGTATGAAGGACAGTGTATTTATATACGTGGGTGACTGATTTCAGGAAACACACGGTAAGGTTTGTAGGTCACTGCTCAAAAGTGGTCTAAGGATTGTGTTCTGTCTAGCTACGTTGAATATCCTTTACAAAGGGCAACATTACAAAAGGTGACCGTGGTGCAAAACACTACACAAATAGGAAGAACTATCACAGTCCAGACATTATAGCGCGTCCAATTTTATCACAAACTGATTAGTTTAATTTCTCCACAAACCATCTTCTTCTTCCATCCACTTCAACGTTTCACTGCGAACTAGCACGGCAATATGAACATATCATCTTGCATGGCGCCAGTTAATATTTCTCAGAAAGCCATCAAACACCGGTACTTTTGAAGCATTTCAGCCTATATTGTGCGCCCAAGTTTACCAAAAGTATAATGGTTGGAGTAAACCATTGTTATTCATTTTAGTGCGTGCCAAATTTGTACCGAAATTATTGTGCTGCATGTACGTAGCATGACGCGCTCTGTCAAAAAGTTTCCTGTTTTGTTTTTATCTACGTTCGTTACACAAATTTCGGCTTTCTAATACTAGTCAGCGGTTTTTGAAGACGGTATGAAGGACAATACCGATCAACTTCAAAACAGCTGATCCTATATTTCAGTCTAATCGAAAATAATAAGCCAATCAAAGTTCCTTTGGAGTATCATACGGAATGTCCGGTATCGAAACTCCTGAAAAAGGCGTTAGAAATATGGAAGTAAAAATATGGACAGATGTACTTATCCGACAAAGCACAGGTAAACCATAGCACGGTATGGACTACCAGCACCTACTTGACCTATCTTGATGATAAGAGCATGATATTTATTAGCACGGTGGCTTCTCCTGGCAGAAATGCCCTTCTTCTTAGATTGTTTATTTACACGTATACACATTATCTAGAACCCTTTGAGTTTTGATGGATTTTTTCCTTCTGACTCGTCTCGTCTAAATGAAATACCTGCACTCGCTTCAGCTTTGGGACACACTTCTTGACTCCGGTTTCTCAATGCTTTTTAAGGTGGATTTACTTGCCAAGATTGTGCCTTTGAAAGAACTGGTGACAAACTCCACACAGACCTACATACACAACATGCACTCCTTACTCGTACATTCCCGATTTCTAAACGGATTCTCCGGATGAACGCATTCTATCCACTGCTGCCAATGTAGAGTGTATGACCTAGCAATCAAGCATGACAATACCAAATGGTAAACTCTGTCGGGACAATAACTGCCGCCTCCCCAGATGAGAACCCAAAGGCTCGGCTCGCCAATGGATAATAACACCAGTAAACATGGTACAATCAAACAGTTAGTGGCGCTCCTGAATCAAAGCTATTGTTTTTAACGCGTAGCTACCCAGGTTCCTGCTGTCCTCTCGCTTTTCGGTGACAGAAACTGTAGCAGATAAGACAAACGAACCTTTGGTACATGTTTTGTAGCTTGTAAACTGAACTCAGCTAAAACGAAATGAATTAAATTGGAGTGAACTAAACGGAACGAAGTGAAAGGAAAAGAAAAGAATATACGTTAACAGTGATTCGACAGCCATGCGATGCAGCAGGACATACCCAAAGAATGTGATCAGTAGCTTATCGTTCATAGGTAGCAATTCAGTCAGCAATGCCAAAGAACAGTCGACATGCGTGCTGTCTAATTAAGTCTATTGTACGTGCGTTCATTCTTTAGACTTAAAAAATTACTCAAGCCTTGTGTAAAACTCGTGAATGTCCAACAAAAAACCGTAGAATGAGATTCACATCTTCCCAGACTTTAGTTCTTAACTAATTTCGAGGGGACAGTTCTTTGAGAAAGTCTGTTTTTTTCACGGGGGGTCACACTTACCATGTCGTATGACTACAAATAATTCAGTTTTATAAGTCATAACTGATATTTGCCCAATTGCAGGTAATCAATAGCACAACAGAACTTCTTTACAACAAGCCTGTCCATAGAAATTGGTTGTTTGTAGTTGATCCAGCCAGGTTCTTCCGCTACCAATAAACCAAAAGTATCCACCTTTTTAGTGACACAACTAATCACCTAACTTAATCTAGAAATATTGTTGTTGTATTGAGACGTATCGTTTTATGTACAGACCACCGACTTCCCACAAAGTCCAAAGCGTACTCAACTGTGGAGACAATTTTGGAAAGCCCTGTCAAGGGTTAGTGTATACAACGTATTGTTGCAGTTACAGGCACCAGTATTTATCCCTCTACGGAGCTAAACACTCTGTGGAAAGAATCTCTCCAACATTTTCGAATAAAATTGTCGGAAATCTAGTCGAAACACACACCAAGCACGGAGGGTTCCCCAGGCGACCGGTTATAAACAGTTAACAAAAGGATGAAGTACCCGATTCTGGTGATATTTTGAAATTACCGGGAAA